CCTAGTCATTCAAGGGATAATGGATTAGATTAGGAGTTTTATTTTAAGTCTTTCACTATAAATACAACTTATTATCTACGATAGTATTTTATCAAAATTTAAGGTGCTTGTTACTATTTCATAAATATCTTAGGAACAAAAGTACTCTTGAAGTTAATCTGAGTTTTATGATCAATGTTAATGCCAGTTAATCTAGATGTGATATTTCAATGATTTTGATACTCAAAGGCAACATTGTTCCGATGAATATTTTAGGATCACCAATTCTCCTCGTGAAAAATTCAGAGGTAAAATTGTCGTTTTAACCTCATAGTAATTTAGAATTCTTTTTATATTTATCGTTTTTGTGCTCATTATTAACGAGAAGTGAGGCTGAATGATGTGCTCAATTTGGGGGCAAAGGAGTTCCAAATATAAACTTTTATTGAATTAAAAACTTGTAAATAATACGATAAATTATAAATTGATGTCAATGAAAGTCTTTACTATATAGGCATTACCAATATATACCCTTATGTTTTCGAAGAATCTCCAAATTCATCATTACTATTCCTCTTTCATTCCCTTTTATTATTATATTCTCCATATCTTTCTAATTATTTTTCAATGTAAGCATTCGCAAGACAACAGAAAGAAGGGAAGGGATCGAGGAGAGTTAAAGATCAAATTCAAGGTTAGCTAGTGAGAGAGTGAGAGTAATTGTTAGAATAATATGAGAGTGGTGGCTGAAAAGTGGATTCTTTTTTAATTCCACTGTGTCCACTCAGTTAATTAAAAGTCGCCTACCGACGCTGCAAGTCCAATGCATCCAAAAGTAATCCCCGCCCATGCGACTTGCAATTCCAATTCATTGTGTATCTAATTAGCTAAAACTTTTAAATAAAAAAATGAGAATTCAAATGTAATATCTTATAGAACATTATTATATTATTAAAATATAAATAATAAACATATTATCAAAATTTAATCTGGACAGTTTATAATTTAATACAAAAAATTTGATTTATAAAATATTTTGAATAATAGTTTTATAAAATATTACGTTTCAACCATCCACTATTTTGATAGGATTCCCATTTAGAGAGTGCGAGTGATTTTTTTTTTTTTTTTTTGACCTTGAGTGTGAGCGATTGTTGGAATAATGTGTGAGAGAGAACAGACCAAAGTATCGCAAAGGATCTTCATCCTTATCTTGGTAAATCAACTGTGTCCACTTAGTTAGTTAGAAAATTATTACTCCTCCTATTCTTAGGGTGTGTTTGGATGAAACCAAACCGTGGTTTGGAAAAGTGATTCTGGAAAATAGATTCTGTGAAGAATAGATTTTGTAAAAAAGTGATTCTGAGAAGTGAGAGTGTTTGGATAGTTGTTATCAGAAGTACTTTTTATATATACAAATTACTAAAAAAAAGACATAAGTTAATATGATAATTACAGAAAAAATAGATTTTATGATATATTTTAATTTGAAGGAATAAAATTGTTAATAATATATTTTTTACCAACATAATTAATAATACATAAGATGATATAATTAATAAATAATTAATATGTATATATATTTTTAAAATATAAGATTAAATATGTTTATAAAAAAATATGTTTATAAAAAAAATAACAAGATACATATTCTATAAGCTCTCACACTCTCCTTTTTTTCTCCAAAAGCAAAATTTTTTTGCTTTTTCCAAAACCATGGTTTTGGAGCCAAAACCATGGTTTTGGTCCAAAACCACGGTTTGCCCAAAACCAGTGGGTGTTTGGGTGACTTATCACCCAAATCATGGTTTGGGTCCCCAAACCATGGTTTGGGGTGTCACCCAAACGGAGCCTTAATGTATGATCTAATTGGAGAGTTGATATTAATCCTCTATGTAGGAATTATTTCACATATTTATCAACGCTTTTCCTAAATGAACCCTATTGATATTTTTCCAAAATAATAATCAAGTAGGCAAAGGAGGGAGGGAATTATGAAAGATGCTTAGAGTGGTTTAAAAAAAAAGTATCATATTAACTAATTTAGTTAATATATCTAATATACTCAAATTAGTTAATTAAATCTTACGGTAAAAAAAATTAGTGAGTTTCTGGGAAAAGTCTTAGAAAGTGTAATTCCACAAGTGCTTCCAAGTTCATTCGTCTTGAAAAAGGAAAAGCTGATAGCTGCATTCATGGGTTATCGCCCTCAAAAGTCTTGGTCTTCCCCTATCAAAAAGTTAGGCAAGAGGATCACTAAGAAGCTATTAATTGAGGTGATAGCAGCTTCACCTCATATAAAGAGAAAAACACAAATTTAAATTTTTAGAAGGATACATGTTGAGAGGGCTATTTCTGAATTGTTTTAATTCTTAAAAAAAAAAAAGAATAGTTTCAAGTCCAATATTACTTGGAGGTAAGTTGGTTCCACCTTATAAAAGTTATCCAAGAGTATTAATGAAACCACAATCGTATTAACGAAACCTTCATTCCTTCCTATGTGCTCCAAGCTTTCATTCATAAACCGTCCTCGCGTTTGTGACAACGATGATGCTTCACACTCTGACATGAAAGGATGAAAAATAAAGTGACAAAAATTGTTGCTATTAAAACCATTGGAAATGAACAAATAAATATCCCTGAAATATACATAACCCAAACCAGTATCCTAAAATATACGAATGACACGGAAGCTAATTGTGCCAAAATGGAGTCTTTTTTTTTTTTGGGTTGAAATGACTACTTCGCCCTACTAAAAAGAGGGCTTAGTACAGCTTCCGCAGAGAGGCCCATGTTTTTGTAATCAATGTTAGGCACTTGTTACCTTTATGCACCATGAATAAAATGAACTAATAATATGTGATGTTATAATTTTGGGTCATGTGATTAACTGTTTTTAGTTTCTTATCTTGTGAAACGCAATCAAATCAATAGATATAAATCTAGAGGACATGTTTTTTCTATATTTGCACTAAGTTTAAACAAAATAAGTTGTAAATTTTTTGTGAATTAACTTAGAGATTTTATATTTTACGTGGGTTTCTATGCAAAAACAAATTAAATTGGCTAAGGTATATAAATTTTCATTCATTTGTTTTCATTTTTCACTTCTTATGTTTTTTTTTTCGTTTGATTTTATTTTCAACCCTTAATTCAATTTGGCTGTGATTTGGTTTCCTAATTTGATTAAAATTGTACTTTTCTCCCTTGATTTTCTCATCTTATTTACTCTATCCTAGCTAATAACCTCCTTGACACCCAGTGGTGATCCACATAGAATCTTTTTCTAGAATATCTTAATTGGATGGAGTTATGCTAAAATGTAATCATTTTTTAAATTAAGAGTACAAAAATAAAATTTGAAATAAATTCAAGTCAACAAACTAAATTGGAACAGAATGCATTGAAGGGATGAAAAACAAAACATTAAAGACAATTAAGGTAACACAAGCATACTTCACCATATAAAGTAAAGGGTTTTGTAGCATTCAACACTTTGAAATATTTTTTTCATTAGCTATACTTTTTTCTTGGTGGGGCTTGAGACGTTCACTCTTTCAACTTTGGATTTCCACTTCAGTGGAGGTAGCCCACACTCACAGCCTTCCTACTTGATATTGAGCTTGCCCAATTATCACATTATGCTTGCTCGTTATCAAAATGACCTTGCCATTTCTTTTTGGTTTTTCCAGACATAGATGTTCTCCTATTGGAAGTAATTCTGTTCTAGATACTATCTTTATATAATTACACCAAATTACAACTTTACAGACTGTTGAAACCAAAAAAAAAACTTTATAACCCTTTTATTCTCAATGTATGTTCACTTTTTATTAATCTTTAATTAGTATCAACCAAATCGAACTACTAATAAATCAACAGAACTTTGAATCAAATTTATTACGTATAAAACCAAATAGGACTATGTTGTAGGTTAATGAAAGGTAAATGATATATTGGAATCATTGTTGGTGAGCAGCTGAAAACCAACTCTTGATGTATTTTATGTGAAAATGAATATATTACTGAAAATTCATTGGCACTATCATTGTTGGTGAATGAATGCGTGTCTCTCAGCCTAGGCTAGAACTTGGGAGAAGAGTTGGAATTTGATGTATTTGAGCTCAAAAATAAATTGCTCATGAGAATTTATGAGCTGCGAACTTGATGAAACATGAAGCAGGCTAGCGAATGAGGCCCTGAAATTATTTGATGGCGATAAAGGATACTTTTCAAGTTTTGTAACAGGTGATAGAACAAAATTTGTGGATGTGAACATAAACGATATGGATATTCTAAGTTGATCCAGAAATGTCAAAAAGAAATAATCTACAAATTACTACACAATTTTGAAATAAGGCTAATATATATATAGAGAGAGAGAGAGATTACAAATTGAAGCAAGCAAAATATACCCAGGTTCAAGAACATCAAAGTAGCCTCTATGTTCTAGTAAAGCATATGCATGCTTGGCTTGAACAGATGTCTTAAATAAAATGTTGAGTAAATGATGTCAAAAAAAAGTTCAAATTGTGAAAATGAAAATATGGCTACTGGTAAAAATGAAAGAGCTGAGATGAAGATAGGAACCCACTTTAAGCCATTGTCATATGTTATGAAGAAAGCACTACTAAATGCTATCATCATGCTCGTTACGGAGATGAAGAGTGTTATCAATCCAAATATTAGCTTTGAGGGGAGGGAATGATGAAAGTCATACTCTGCATAACGTGATATGAGGATTGATAAGAAGATTAGTATGGTAGCCGAAGATGAGATCATTGCAATAGCATCTTGATATATGCATTACTCGGGTAACAGGTTTTTATAGTAATTGTAACCGTGAGAGAAAGGTAAATTCCTGAATAGTTAGTTAGAAGAGAGAGAATAAGTGGGTGACGTGTCTGAGGTCAGGATATATACCATGTACTGCCCTGATTTGGTTTCTGTTGAATGAATATTCTGCTTCTTTTCCTTTGCTTATATCATAAAAGGTATCAGAGCCTTTTCCCTCCGACCATATGGCACCGCCGGAGACTCGATCCTCGACGGACCGTATGGGTGACATTGAGCGTCGGTTAGACCAGCAGCAAAGCATCCTTGAGTCGGTCACCACTCGTATGGAACAGCAATCATCAGATATCGGCGATCTGAAAGTAACATTACAGGATATATCCACCAAGCTATCCAACCTTCATTCTCCGTTTGCGAATCGTCCGGCGTCTGCTGATGCGGTTTCCCAAACCCATGTCTCTCCCCGTCTTCCTGCCTTCGGTTCATTCCATGAGCTGCACAACTCTGGGTCTTCTTCCAGCTACTCGATTGCCACAAAACAGAGTCGCGTTGAGTTTCCGAAGTTCGACGGCTCTGACTTCCGTGGGTGGGCCTATCGAGCTCGCCAATTTTTTGAGGTAGATGGCACACCAGCTGACCAGCGCATTCGACTCTTGAGCATTCACCTTGAAGGTCATGCATTGCAGTGGCATCAAACCTTCATGCGTCACCGCTCCTCTGCTGATATTTCCTGGGCCGAGCACTTCAGGCAAATGGAGGTCAAATTCGCCGATGTGCGAGATGAACACCCTCTCATTACACTAAAGAAGCTTCAACAACTTTCTACTTCAGTTTCCGAATATGAACAGCAGTTCGACGAGCTCCTATCGGAAGTTGACATTCCCGAACCCGTAGCTATCAATCTCTTTATTGGAGGTCTTCGGCCTGATATACAGAAGTTCGTCCTCAACTTCGCTCCGTCCACCCTGACAAGTGCAATGTCGACGGCCCGTTTGCAGGAATCAACCATTCATGCTCTACACGAGAATGCACCGGTGTCTTATCACCGTTCGGTCCCTCCAACAGGAAGTTCTGCGTTCGGGGTTCAACCGGGTTCTGCATTAGGCCCAAAAATAAGCCCATCCGTGGATGCTACAGGGTTTTCTAAACCCAAACCCATATACCAGTCTTCGATCCAACCGAGCGTCTCTGCAGCGGCTTCAACTTTTCCGAACACTAAATCAGCCATTTCTTCCAAACCCACCCGCCAGCTTTCGAAACGGGAAATGGATGATAGGCGCCGAAAAGGGTTATGTTATTGGTGTCCAGAGAAGTTTGCTCCAGGCCATCGCTGTAAGGAGTCGCACTTGTTCACGTTGGTGATTGATGAAGATGATGAGCACTTTGAGGATGCCATAGGGGTCGCCCAGATTGATGCAGAGGGGGCGATCAATGCTATTGAAGGGGATGACAAAGCTCCTACTCTGAAACTGATGGGCCAAATTAAAAACCAGAAAGTGATCATTCTAGTAGATACCGGGAGCACACACAATGTGCTGCATACTTCTGTTGCTAAGCGGCTCCAATTAAAACCAGTGGAACGGAACGCCATTCGACTCACTGTAGCGGACTCACGGCAGGTAACTGTGTCTAAATGCTGCCCAAATTTGTCTTGGGATATGGGTAACTCCACCTTTGTTGCTGATTTTTTAGTAATGAAAATTGGTGGTTATGACATGATTCTGGGCACCCAATGGCTAAGAACTATAGGTCGTTTTACGATGGATATTGATTTGCGGTTATTTGAATTCACTTCTGGGGGCAAGAAAATTGAGTTGCGTGGCTTAGGGTATGCACCCTCTCCTGTCATAAAAGAGCTCTCTTCAAACCATGATATTCTCACTGCTGCATGTATTTTCCTTTTGAACACATCATCCTCCTTGCACGTGGGGTTGGGTAATACTTCCCCACTTCCAGAAATGTGTCAACAGGAATTACTCAGATTATTGGACACCTATGCTGATATTTTTGAGGAACCGAAGGAACTTCCCCCTTCAAGGCCTTATGATCATGCGATTCCACTTCATAATGATAAGCCTATTAGTTGCCGACCTTACCGGTATGGTCCTGCACAGAAAACTGAAATTGAGAAGCAAGTTCAAGAAATGCTTCAGAATGGTATTATTCGAGAGAGTTCCAGTTCTTTTGCAGCTCCAGTAGTTTTGGTATAGAAGAGGGAAGGTACATGGAGATTCTGTGTTGACTACAGAAGACTCAACGAGGCTACAGTGAAAAACAAATTCCCTATACCGGTCATTGAGGAATTGTTAGATGAGTTAACCGGTGCTGTTTATTTCTCTAAGCTCGATTTGCGGTCTGGCTATCATCAAATCAGAATGAAAGGGGAGGATGTTCCTAAAACAGCTTTCAGAACCCATGAAGGCCTGTATGAGTTTCTTGTTATGCCCTTTGGGCTTACAAACGCACCAGCTACATTTCAAGGACTTATGAACTATATCTTTAAGGCATTTCTAAGGAAATTTGTTCTAGTTTTCTTTAATGATATACTCGTTTACAGCAAGAACTGGAACTCCCATATGGAACACTTGGAGTTGGCTTTATCCACCTTAAGGCGACATAAGCTATTTGCTAAACACTCTAAGTGTATTTTTGCTGCCACCCAAATCGACTATTTGGGTCACATAATTTCTGCAAAAGGAGTACAGGCTGATCCAAAAAAACTTGCAGCAGTCTCATCATGGCCCGTCCCTACTAATCTCAAGGAGCTGCGGGGGTTCTTAGGCCTTACGGGCTATTATAGGAGATTCATTCGCAATTATGGAGCCATTAGCAAGCCTCTTTCTGATTTGTTGAAGAAAGATGTACCTTTCCAATGGTCTGCTGCCACCGATGAGGCTTTTCTGTTGCTTAAAAAATTCATGATGTCTCCCCCGGTATTGGCACTCCCAAACTTCCATGAACCCTTCATTGTGGAGACAGATGCTTCTAGTACAGGATTGGGGGCTGTTCTTTCCCAAAATGGCCATCCAGTGGCCTTTGCTAGCAAGGTGTTGGCCACCAAGAAGAGACCGCTTTCTGCATATGAGAGAGAATTATTGGCTATTATCTTTGCTGTTCGGCAATGGCGTTCTTACTTGTGCAGCCATAAATTCATTATCAAGACAGATCATCTTCCACTTAAACACTTGTTGGAGCAGCGAGAATTAAATCAAGATCAGTTTAAATGGCTCCATAAATTGTGGGGCTTGAACTATGAGATTGTTTATAGAAAAGGTAGTGAGAATGCAGCTACAGATGCCTTGTCTCGGCGTGTTGATGGAGCCTGTTTGGCTTTAACTAGACCTGTTTCTCCACTTTATGAGAAGGTTCGGGACTCTTGGTTAACTGATGATCATCTTCAGAGATTAATTTCGGATCTCGAACAGGATCCAACCTCCCATAGCAACTATACTTGGCAGCATCAATTGTTAAAACGCAAGGGCAGATTGGTTGTGGGTGCTGATAGGAACCTTCGTCGTGACTTGTTGACATTTTTTCATGAAGACAGCATTGGGGGCACTCTGGACAGCACTCTACTTTTGTGCGTATTTCTTCCTTCTTTTATTGGAAGGGGTTAGAGAAGGATGTTAGAAACTTTGTTCGAGAATGCACTACATGCCAGCGCTTTAAACCAGAATTAATTGCTTCTCCAGGATTAATTCAGCCTCTCCCAATTCCGGATCATGTATGGACAGACCTCTCCATGGATTTTATTAGTGGCCTTCCCAAATCCTATTCTAAATCTACTATTTTTGTAGTAGTTGATCGACTCTCAAAGGCAGCCCATTTCATGGCTCTCAAACACCCCTTCACTGCTGTTGATGTGGCACAAATTTTTCTAGATAATGTGGTCAAATTGCATGGGTTCCCTAAGTCAATAGTGTCAGATCGAGATCCTATTTTTTGTGGCAAATTTTGGAAGGAGCTGTTTCGGTTATATGGGGTTAAACTCCAATACTCTTCTGCCTATCATCCTCAAACGGATGGGCAAACAGAGGTTCTGAATCGTTGCTTGGAGTGCTATCTTCGTTGCATGACTGGAGACTTTCCTAAACAATGGGTTAAATGGCTGCCCTTAGCAGAACTTTGGTATAATACTACTTACCACTCTTCTATCGGCATGTCCCCTTTTGAGGCTGTTTATGGAGTTGTACCACCGGTCCATTTACCTTATATTGCTGGGGACTCTCCAAATGATCTAGTTGACCGCACTTGTCTGTCTAGGGAGTTAGTTTTACAACTCCTTAAGCAACATTTACTACGAGCACAGCATAGGATGGTCCAGCAAGCTAACAAAAACAGATCTGAACGTTATTTCAATATTGGGGATAGGGTCTATCTGAAATTGCATCCTTTTCGAAGGAATTTGTTGAACAATGCTTCCCTCCACAAGCTTGCTGCCCGTTATTTTGGCCCCTATAAGATATTGAAGAAAATAGGGGTTGTCGCTTATCAGCTTGAGTTGCCAGCAAACACACGTATCCATCCTGTTTTTCATGTTTCACTCCTCAAGAAACACGTAGGTCCAGAAGCCCCTTTGGCCCCCTCTCTGCCCCCTAGTGATCATCAAGGCCACTTCATGCTGGAACCACTGGAGATTTTGGGCCGAAAGATTGTTAAACGAAACAATGTCCCTGTTACTCAAGTCTTGATTCGCTGGAAATTCTCTCAACCTGAAGATGCCACTTGGGAGGATTTATCTCTTATTCAGCAGCAGTTTCCAGATTTTTCTACCACGGCTCCCCCTGCCAGGACAATCCTTGTGGACAAGGATTCTTTCGAAGGGGGGGAGTATTGATATATGCATTACTCAGGTAACAGGTTTTTATAGTAATTGTAACCGTGAGAGAAAGGTAAATTCCTGAATAGTTAGTTAGAAGAGAGAGAATAAGTGGGTGACGTGTCTGAGGTCAGGATATATACCATGTACTGCCCTGATTTGGTTTCTGTTGAATGAATATTCTGCTTCTTTTCCTTTGCTTATATCACATCTGATATAGCAAATATCATGAATGATCGTTTCCCCAAATAATTTGGAACTCCTGTATCATCATTAATGCCACCTGGTATGCTAAATGCTGCAGTAAACACACCAGTAGCGATAAGAGTTGAAACAAGCATGCATGACTTAGCTGTTCCCTTCATCCATGACTCAGCATCTTTCCGTAATGCAGTGTGCTCCTTAGTGAATAACTCACGAGGAGTTTCACCCTTGAAGTTTTTCCTCTTCATATATGATGGCAACACTATCTTCCTCACCTCCTGCCATGTCAAATGGTTGTTCATAAATTAATTCATGTAAATAATCTAGTTTATGGGATCATCTAAATCACTTCATAGTTACTAGCTAAAAAAAAAGTACCTCAAACCATAATAGTTCAAACTTCATTTGGAAAGCTGCTCCAGAGACCAATTCAAGTCGGTTAGCTGGCGCTAACATTGCAGCCAAATGCAATATAGTGTTTCCACTATTTTTTTTCTTTATATGACAATATGATATCCTTACTTCTACTCATATCATGGATGAGATTAAAGATTTTAGGATGACGATGTAAAACAGCAATATGAATTATGGTTTGTCTTTTGTCGTCCAATTGCCACATTAAATCAGGGTAAGACTTCATAAGCGCAGCTAAAAAGTCAAAGTTTCCAACTTTCGCTGCATCAAATAGTAGTCTTGAAGGTTCATTTATGAGTTTCTTGACATTTTCCTTTGAGCATGCACCCTCGAGAATTTCTTGCCACAAGAGACGAACGAGTTCAAGGGCAATACTATGCTTCGTACCTAGGACACAATTTGATGAATTAAATATGCCAAGTTAGAAGATAGGCAATATACTATGTGCACACTGGGGGAAAGAAGCACCGATAGGTCACATATTAAGACCAATTTTTTATTCTTCCAAACAAGTAGTTACAAAGCTAATTAATTTAATTACCTAAACTTGTGGGTTGAATTTGTTGTTCTGGACTATAACTTCCCCAGTCTGCTGTCTGAGCCATGTAATGTAAACCTGTCATATCATCTTCATCCGTTGCAAATGCTAGTGCAGGCTTTTTTCTCAACATTTCCAATGCTAAACCTACATATGAAAATATGCAAGAAGTAGTCAAGAAAGGCAAATAAAAATCTATAATTAGGTGGTGTTTTCTGACAGTTCAATATGAAACATAAACCTGCCTATCAGGCTCAAATGCTTCACAAAAAATATGAATTTTTTTATTTAATATGTACTGAGCTGTCCTTTATTGCACTTTTAATAATTAAGTGTGTTCGATCGAGATTTACATGCAACATACACTTACCATAAATACCAGATTCGATGCAAGTGAGGAATAACTTCGTCCACTCTCCTTCCTCAAAACTTTCATCAACAGTGTAAGAGTATAAATGGTCCGTCAAATCAGCTCTTCCTTGTAATGCAGCAAAAAGAATAGGAGTGAAACCTTTTCGACTTCTTATTTTTGGTAAGTGTGGATTCTCTTTTAACATAAAGTCAACAATCTCCAGGTTTCCTGCAATAGTAGCAAAGGTGAAGGCAGTGTTTCCCATTTCATCTTGGAAATCCAATCATATGTTGTTCTGATTCATCATGTTCACAAGCTCCTTCACAAAGTGCAAATGGCCTGCTCCTGCTGCTACGTGAAGTATTGTTGCCCATCCTTCTGCTATGGCAGCACTCAGAAGCGTTCTATCTTGGTCTAACATGGGCTTAGCTTTTTCCCAATTGCCTTCAGATGCATACTTGTGAAGACGCACACATAAGTCGAAGTACGTCATTCTGGCCTCCGCTGAAACAAAAGTGTGATTTCATTGTGAAGTTCTCATATTAATTTTTTGGGATTTGATTAATTTATGGGAAGCAGATTAACAACAAGAATACTTCCAAACTAGAAGGTTAAAAATAAAAGTGAAAAGAAATTATGATTGTAAATATGAGATATGTGTTTTTATATCATTTTCAAGTCATGTATACGAATACATAAATGTAAAATGGAACATAAAATTTATCTTAATATCAAAGGATATTTGATGATACATATTAAATTGATTGTTTTGTTAGCGTCGTAGGAAAATCATGACGAACCACAAATAACCAAACGCATTAGTGTTTTAGTTGACATTGGAAAGAATAGAGAGATAATAATTAATTATATGTACCCTGTAAAAGGTCAAGGGAAGGTCTCCTAAACTCAGCTGATTCAACCCTCCGTAGTAGGGGTTCCTAGGTACTTCAGGAGAATCCACTATACCACCATTTAATGCATCCATTGCCTGCAAAACTATTCACATTAATTAACACTTCACTATATTCAGTATCAACATGATTTTTCTATACTTTTTTTTTTCGGGAAAAACAAGCATTTATTCCTACTAACAAAAGGCTCTATTTGGCACCTCAGTGGAAAAGTAACTTATAAGTGGGATAAGTTAGTTTGCACATTTGAGAGCTGTTTGGTTGAGTTTTTAGCTGATCTGACTTATGAGTTAAAAGCTACTTTTTTAAACACGATTGTAAAAATACTTAAAACTTACTTATGACTTATGTAAAAGTAGTTTTTTGAAATTAAAAGACATTTTTGTCCTTATGTTTATGTTGTTCTCATACTTCTTTCTACATATTCATTGTGCTTCCTAATTAGTTTTTAATTATTTATTTTTAATACTCTCTTTAGTGAAAATAATTTTTAACATAGTTTTTATAATATTTTTAATTTTTAATGTTATTTTTTTAATTTATATTTACATAAATTGTGCAAAGTATATCATCCAATTAATTATTTAGTTCAAAAATTTTCACATTATTATGATTTCTAATTTAAATATATTTTATTCATTAAATATAACTTCTTTCTATTATCATAATTTAAAATTATTATATTTTTGAAATTCATATTTTTAATCATTTTTCATTAAAAGTTATACCCATTTTAGTTATTCTACAAACTAAACTTGCTTATCCAATCATAATTCAAACAACTTTTCTACTTTACAAACTAACTTTTATATATAAAAATCAATCTAAACATATATCACATTAGCCAATCTAACTTTTATCTAATCTCACTTTTCTAATCCAAACGGACCCAAAAACAGCAATAATAATATTTACACACATACATATATATAAATATATATTTATACATATACTTTGATAATACGCGTACCATCCATATAGGCTTCTTCGAGTTCCAAATGTATAGTCCATTTCTAAATATAAGGACTCATTCCCTCTAATCTTCTACATGAAATTCTCATTCCCATAACATCCTTTGGGTCTTTTTATCTTTACGCATTAAATTTTAATAATTAAATGATATTTCTTTTGAAAAATTATTATAAGTTAACTTTCTACATACCAATTACAAAAAAACAAATTACCTACTTTTCTTTTTGAAATTTATGAATTAGTTAAAAGGCCTTGTACACCAAAAAAAAAAAAGGCCTTATATTTACGGCTAAAGGGAGTAGATCTTTTGGTCAGTTATATATATGTATATATCAATGATAATAATTAAATTGTTAATTATGACTAACTATGAGTGTTGACTTTTTTGAAAAGAAACTCTCCACTAGGGTTTCCTTTCGTTAACAGCGCTGAATAGTTATTCGTCAGAAACATTCTGCTTGGGGACTTTCTAGAGTTTCCTACCCTAGTCTATGGAGGGTTCTCTCTTTGAAGGGATACGATCTTTGATGTCGGTAGTCTGTCAAAGGGCAGACTGGAGTATTATACTCCTCGTATTGGTTTTTTTTGTTGATTGGGAAGGAAGAATCAGAGTGGCACAGCAGAATATTGAGGGGTGGAGGATGAATACAAAGCGGAGGTAATGTCTGGCTATTCAAATCAAGAAGGATCAGTGAACCGACTTGCAATTTGCTCGATGAGTTTTTGAAGGTTCTTAATCTGTGATTTAGGGGATGAAGATTATTGATGGGTACCTCCACGATTAGGGGGATTAGTGTCAGATCTGAAACCTAGGTGCCTTGGGCCATTGCTGTGGTTAGAGCTCTTGAAAGATGATGAGAGAATGAGGGGATTAGATCTCTGGCCTAGATATACAAGCTTGGTGATGCAGCGAAAAATTTTGCTGAGTTTTGGATGTCAATTTTTAGAGACAGAGGATCAGGAACATGGTCTTATTGATATGTTTATTCAAGTCAGATTTATTAACCCCCTTCATTCTATATTGTGTGGATTTGCTTTGGCTACCTGGTTATATCTTCTTTTAAACCTCTAAGGGGTAAAATCAAAGATAATTTGAAATGGTTCCTCCTGAAATTAAACCAAGCATTTTTCCTACCGCTAAGCTATCATATCCTAGACTTTAGACCTAGAAGTTCAAGTATAAGCCTAATCTAAATAGGCTACGAAATTCAGTTGGGAAAGGCCTCGAAAATGCCCTGAAAGGTAGACTGATTCCTAATGACTATGTAACATTTGGCCTCTTTGAACAAAGGTTAAATATGTAATTAAAGGTTAGCCAAAAGCCAAATGAAATGGTAGACATGCTAAGGTAGCATTGGATATCATCGTCCCGAGTTTGGGCAAAAGCATAATGTCTAAAAATTACAGGTACATAAGGGCAATTTTAGAAATTATTTTTGAAATTTCATGAAAAACCCCTGAAGACACAAAAGATAAAGAATAATTCTCCAAAACATGTTTGAGGCTTAATTGAGGTATAAATGAGAAAACTACCTCAAAAAGGAATTTTAAACAATTATTGAAATTTAAAGCCTCAGAAAGAGAAGATGTTAGCTTTAATAAAATTTAAAGCCTATTTATATACTATTCAGGGAAAGTCAAAATAAACTATCAAGAGGTTGACTTTTGACTTAAGAAAAGTAGAAAAATTTCCCGTGATGAATAAACAATATTAGTACTTAAAGATTGATTCTCAGAGTCGTGGACCAGTAGAAAGAATTCGGTCAGGTTTAAACAACAAGGGAAGAGTGTCACTTCCTCTTTAGGAATGTTATACAATGCCATGTGGACTCATTTGAGGTAAGAAAATGGTACCAAAATATGTCCCAGTGGTTTTGAAGAAGTCAAAACTT